TGAACATGATCAATCTGACTACTATATAACTCGATTGCAAGTCCTTTGAAACTTGTAATTTATAACATTTTCTAGCATTTTTAGTAAACTATACCTCAACAATTTAATTATTGTCCTCTCATATCACAAATATTTACTATCTCTGCAAATAATCTAATTTTCCTCTTAGCAACCAATGTATCATTAATTCAGGTATGTCAATAATCTTCAACGATTAGATCAACATAGATTACATAACCTTTACAAACACATTCTCCAAACCAATCTTTAATTCATTGCATTCCCGAAGAAAAAAGCAAAAATGCCATTCCTTTCGACATCCACACAGATCCTCCTTTCCATTTCCACCACAATCGACTGATAAAGACACAAAAACGATAGAACGTGAAGAACACGCTTGGTAATTAACCGTATCATCGCTTAATTACTCCATCTCGATGCTTATCAACCTCTCGAGATAAGGAAGGCTCGGAGAAACAGGATCCTGGAGGACGCGGGGATCCGAGCGGCCGCCATTTTGTCGACCGCTCGCAGCGCCGTAAGTGCGCCGCCATTTCGATCAACGCTGCTCCAGAGCCTTAGATACTACGTCGTTCGTTTTTCACTCGAAGCACAACGGAGTGGCATGTGACAAGGAAATCTTGGCATGTTTCCACGTCGTAACGATATTCGCCCACGTGTCGGACAGGTGAAACAGCCCTGACAAATCGGTGCAGTTTGTTCTGCACCTATTTGCCCGTCGACAGTAAGTGGATTTCGTCGTTACTCGGCGTGGAATCGTATGGTAAAGAAATGCCACGTCGCATGGACCCCGTTATTTCGCGAACGGGAGTCTAGCAAACAAATGGACCGAGATTATGCGTGAAGTCTCAGCGGAAACTGTGGTGATATAACCGAGCCATGCATCGTTCTTTCGTTCCTCTTTCTTCGGGTACACTAGGATGCATAATGCTTCTGCGATGGAATGGACATTTTTCAGTTCTCTGTCTCTCCTCTTGCCAGTAATGTGAAAATAACGAGGTACGATGAAGAGATCTAGAATGACCGAATTATTAGAGAGGTCTCGGTTGTTAATTGACATACAACAGTCTTTGATAAGCCTGGTCAAAAATTCCAAGTTATTTGAATCACTTATTTCAAAAACTTTAATTTGTACCTAATATTTTGGTGATCTTGATACTCCTGGTATTTATTTTACTAACAAGGATTGAGCGAAGTTGTCTTGTAGTTTTGGTTGCTTTGGCGTGTGCTAACGCTAAATGCTTAGGTTGCTTTAGTGTTTGATAAGCCTGGTCAAAAATTCCAAGTTATTTGAATCACTTATTTCAAAAACTTTAATTTGTACCTAATATTTTGGTGATCTTGATACTCCTGGTATTTATTTTTCTAACAAGGACTGAGCAAAGTTGTCTTGTAGTTTTGGTTGCTTTAGGTTGCATCTGTGCAGGAAAATAGATGCTAGAAAATATCTCGTAGTGAAATTTTTGATCCAGTCGACTGGAAACTAGTTCGAAGACCTAGACCTAACCCAAATTCTTTGAATTAGAATGCTGAGAAATGTTAGAACGCATCTATTCTTATCATCGAGCAGCAGAGATCGAATCATTAAGCTGTCGTTAGGCTTTGATGCTTCTCTGGTCGTAAAATAATGAAAATTATGGAAAATAGGTGGAAACGATAATTTCCAAAAATAACAGATGACTAAATACAGGTTGTGAAATTTAAAGAAGAGTCTGAAATTAGAATGATCAAATAATTTCTTACTTATATATATTATTCTTTTTCTATCATGCGAAGAATGATCGTTTTATTGCCTATATTATAATGAACATTTCAAAACTTGCTTTCTTTGACGTGTCAGGAAGAGAGATTACGCTAAACAAGAATTAAGCCTGCAATTTATAGATTTTTCCGCATATTGCAGACTATTTCAGTCCACTGATTGCGATTCGAAAATGAATCATCAGCCATTGTAGGAAGCATGAATTAAAAATACGATAATCCAATGCAATAAATTTCAATCCCTGTATTTCAGTTTCGATCAGATTAATCATTTATCTCAGATAAAGTCAATTTATATGCTACATTGAAAATAACAGCTATATCTTGAAATCAAAGCAATAATTCAATTTCTCTTGTTCTACATTATTAAAAAGAAAAAAAAGAAAATATTATA